GGGCAGGGGAAGGAGCAGGGACAGGGGAAGGAGCAGGGCAGGGGTAGGAGAGTCAAGTGGGGGTTGTCGAGACTCTGTAAAGTGGGATGTGCCGGGGAAGTTATCGAAGCGGCGCCCAAGTTTGTGCACGAGTGAAGGATTTTTAGGCAGGGCGGAGATTTGTGGTACTGGCGGGGCGAAGGAAGGGGATAGGTGGAGAGAGGGGTGATGAAGGAGCTGATGAAGAAAACAGAGAATAACGGGCAGCGTAGGTGACGGAGGATGGAATTGGATATGGGAATTAGGAGGGAGGAGAGACCGAGAAAAAGGGAAAGGAGAGGTTACAGTGAAACAAAGATATGGGGAGGTAAAATGAGAAGGAAAATTTATGAAAGAATGGAAGATGTAAAAAAAAATATAAAGGAAAAGTAATTCAGAAACCGAAAAAAAACATTAAGTAAAGAGAGACTGAGAATAGGCATTAGTTAATCAGAGTGAATGACAGACACACGACATTCGGGGTTTGGGAACTCTCTCTCTCTCTCTCTCTCTCTCTCTCTCTCTCTCTCTCTCTCTCTCTCTCTCTCTCTCTCTCTCTCTCTCTCCCTCCCTCCCTCCCTCCCTCCCTCCCTCCCTCCCTCCCTCCCTCTCTCTTTCTCTCTCTCTCTCTCTCTCTCTCTCTCTCTCTCTCTCTCTCTCTCCCTCTCTCTCTCTCTCTCTCTCTCTCTCTCTCTCTCTCTCTCTCTCTCTCTCTCTCTCTCTCTCTCTCTCTCTCTCTCTCACTCCCCACTCCCCCACTCCCACTCTCTCACTCCTCCCTCCTCCTCCCTCACTCACTCGCTCACTCACTCACTCACTCACTCACTCACTCACTCACTCACTCACTCACTCACTCAAACACTTTATCAGTAAACCCCCCAAATGAAAACGATAATAAAAAAAGCATTTGATCCAGGTGGATGTACCAGAAGTGTGGGTCACGCAAGGGCAAGGTGGGAGGATATTAAAAGAAATGGCAGTTTGATCACATCGGATGCGCGAATGGGGCGAGGGAGGAGGGAGGGTGGTGGGGGCTTGGGGAGGGGGGGGGGCGAAGGAGGTTGGTTTGGAGGAGGCGAGGCGGATGGGAGTGAGAATGGGGGAGGAAGTAAAAGGATGAAAGAGAGTAAAGGCAGATAGACAGATGGGATATATAGATAGGTAGGGAGGTAGATAAATAGATAGATAGATAGATAGATAGATAGATAGGTATATAGACTTACAGGCAGGCAGACAGACGGACGGACAAACAAGAAAAGAAGAGACAAACAGAAAGCGTAAAAGGAAAATTGGACAGCATACGAAGAAAAAAACGTGAACAGAAGACAATAAGAACAAAAAACGAAAAAGAAAAAGAACTAAAGATATAGACACAGATGAACGTACAGAAGCAAAAGAAAATCCCAAGAGAGAGGAATGACAGAAATATGCAGAAGAGAGAAGGAGAAAGGGTGATTGGCTAGGAGGGGAAAAATATAATAAATTTGTGAAAAAAAAGAAAATGGAAGGGGAATGGTCGTAGTGCGCCGAGGAGGGGAATGTTCGCTTTCTCCCTGCGACGAGTGACTTGTGGGTGAAGAAGGGGAGAGGAAGAGGGGAAAGGAGAAAGAGAGGGAGGCATACAGATCGGAAAGAGAGAGAGAGAGAGAGAGAGAGAGAGAGAGAGAGAGAGAGAGAGAGAGAGAGAGAGAGAGAGAGAGAGAGAGAGAGAGAGAGGGGGGGGGGGACGGATAGAGGGGAAGGGAAAACCGGAGAGGCGAGTATAAAGGAAGAAAATGAGAGGGTGAAGGAAAGAAGATGGAAAAGGGAGAAGAGGGGAAATGAGGCGTAAGAGAGGAGTATTAAGGAAAGAGAGAGATAAAAGAAAAAAATAAAGGGAAAGCAGAAGGGAAATGAAAGAGGCAAAGAGAATGGAAAGAATGAGGGGGGAGGAGAAAGACAGAAAATAGAATACAGGAAGAGGGAGAGAGAAGTATAAAAGGAGGAAGAGAGAAAAATTAGAATAAAATAAGAGGGAAGAACGTGAGAGGAAGAAAAAATGGGATGAAATGTAGAAGCTGCAAATGAAAAGAGAGGAAAGGCGGGGGAAAAGAGAAGACAGAAGAAAAGAACTTGGAAAACAAAAATGAATAAGATACAGAGAAAGCAGAAGAGAGGAAGAAGAAGAAGAGAGAGAGAGAGAGAGAGAGAGAGAGAGAGAGAGAGAGAGAGAGAGAGAGAGAGAGAGAGAGAGAGAGAGAGAGAGAGAGAGAGAAGCATAAAACTACCGTCGCCCTAAATCAAATGTTCTTGCCTGCTTGGATGCTCATCATCAGCAAACCATTTAAGCAAGTTTAGACGCATTTTGGAAACCTCCCGGCAAGAGTTTCTTAACATCCCATTAATTTGGTTCCAGAGCAAGTTGAGGCGTAAATGCCTCTAAATTATCCTGTGTGTGTGTGTGTCTGTATGTATGTTTATCTGTATATACGTATATATGTAAGTTTATATGTATATACGTATATATGTAAGTTTATATGTATATACGTAGTATGTATCTATGTTTATATGTACTGTATATATATATATATATATATATATATATATATATATATATATATATATATATATATATATATATATATATATACATATATATATATATATATATATATATATATATATATATATATATATATATATATATATATATATATATATGTATATATATATATATATATATATATATATATATATATATATATATATATATATATACGAATGTAGCCTATTTTTGTATGTATTTATGTATGTATTTATGTTTGTATGTTTGATTAGATGTGTGTTTTTGTGCATATGTAGGTTTTGTATGTATTGTGATATATATATATATATATATATATATATATATATATATATATATATATATATATATATATATATGTAACGTATATATATATTTTTTCCTCATTGTAGGGAAGCCACGACACGAACATGGGGTGTTAGGGTGCAAATGTCCCAGCTATCAGGCGTCCGTGCGACGTTAGGTCGAACAGCATATGATATGGCCCGTCAAATATTTCAAATATTTATGAAACCCCATTGTACAGAAAACTCGATATAAAATCATAAACAAAAGTTGCAACCACACACTGCAAGAGGGACTTACATGACAACACGTAGGCTGAATTAGGCCGCCGTCACAGAACCGCATAGGGGTGGGTGTTCAGCAAAAGGTTCCTTAATAGACGGCGGAGAATCACAGCTTGTAAACTATCCGAGGGAACGTTATCACACCGGCCTCGGTCAGCAGTGGCGAGAGGACACCAACCCGCATGGCCCTTTTGGTGTTCATTACCTCCTTGCTAAAGGAAGGGGGGGGGAGGATTAGGGGTTAGAGGGGTTTAGGTTCAAAGGTTCTGATGTTCAGTGGGAAAGGGTTCAAGGGTTCTGGAGACCTATAGGAGAATATTGGGATTATTTGGAAAGGAGGTGCGAGGGTTTGGAGGTTTAGTGTAGAGTTGGGTTCGGAGGTTTGCTGGAAGGGGTTCATAGGTCCGATAGTTCGAGATGCGAAAGAGATCAGGGATTCGAAATTATTGCTTAGCTCCCCCGCAACGGAGAACTTGAGTGAGAACCGGTCCGCGCGCTGGCCATTCCTGCCCGGACGACGTAGTAAGTTAGGGATTGTCGGGGTTGCGGTCTTTGCGGTGAGGTTGCTCGCGAGTGCCGACCTGTCCCTTGGGAGATGATGGACTCCGGGGGCCTTGGTGGGTCTTGCGGCTTGCGGGAACTCGGTTTGATGGGCGGTTGGCGACGGTGGCTTGCCTTAGTTTTGCTGAATGGAGAGATTCAGAAAGCTTATTCGGTGCAGATTGCAGGACCTCTCACGTTGCTTTATCTTTGTTGCTCTGTCTCTTTCTCTCTTATCCATCCATCTATTCTTCCACCCAGAGATCCGTCCATCTGCCAATCCACATTCCTTTCCACCGCCTCCCTTCCCCTGTACATCTCTTCTTCCTTCCTCTTGCAGCGACGGGTAATCTCGCGAGTTGCAGTTGCGTTGGCCCAGCGACCTTTCATGAAATCCCACCCGGCGCGGCCTGACCACAGGGGATTACACTCTTTTCACGGCCGCCCAAGGGAGTCGCCCGCCCATGCTCTCGTTAGCAATGGGGTGGGGAAGGTGTTGGAGGAGAGGAGGGAGAGAGCGAGGGGGAGGAGGAAGGGCAGAGAAGAAAGGGGAAGATTTGCAGCGTGAGGGACGACTCTTGCTCCCGAGGTCGCTCCTGAGGTCACTCGCCGGCTCCACGAGGGTCGGCGGGTCGGGCCGTTGTAAGCAAAGGGCTGGTGCGGGTGGTATTATCATTTTTTTCCTTCGTGTGTACTGTTCTCATCTACGGCCTCGTGCTCTTCGTGATCTGTCTGCTTATTTCCTTCTTTCTCCCAATCCCCTCGCTTGTTCTCGTTCTCTTTTTCTAACAGATTTGATTTTAGTAATGTGTGTTGCTTTTATTGATATGATGATTTCGAGAAAGATCTTCCCAATATCGACAATTGTAAAAATATGAATGATAATGATAGTGACAGTAATAATGATAAAAAATGACAATAAATAAATAATATTATTAGTTGTAGCTATAGCAGTAATAGCAGCAATAGGAAACAGCAATAGTAATAGTGGTAATAATAATATCATTATAATGAAGATTAAGATTATTATTATTACTGCTGTTGATGTTATAATTATCATTACCAGTATCATAGCCATTATAATTTAATCATTATTATTACCTTCTTTTGAAATCCAGGCAGATGTCTGTTACAGCCTCCCCCCCCTCCCCTCTCTCCATTGTGTGTAGGATTAGCCCAAAGAGCAGTGAGAGTAGGTGGTGTTGAGGGCAGCCATTTTGGTGTTGACGATGGGGTGCGGTTGTGGCGTGGGATGGTGAAGAGTGAGATTGAGCGCGTGTGTGGTGGGCGCAACGGTTGTTCGATGGTTGCTAAGGGATGGTTACTGGTACGGAAAGTGGTGAAGTTATGGTAATGATGTTATGTGGTTCTGAGACGTGAAGAGAAGAGGAGTAGGGGGGGGGGGCGTGGGGAGGCGGGGTGTCTAAGAGCGTGATTGAGGAGAGGTGGTGTGTGAAGTGGATGCGAGGCCATGTGGATGGTTCAGGCTGCGTTGCAGATGGTGGTTGTGGTGGCTGAGATTTTGGTAAAGATGGCGGTCAGTCGGTAAAAGTCAGAAGAGAGAGAATTAGAGAGAGGAGTTGTAAATGCTGTTGGGGTAGTAGAACTTCATTCATAAAGATTTTGCTATTTGGAGAGAGAGAGAGAGAGAGAGAGAGAGAGAGAGAGAGAGAGAGAGAGAGAGAGAGAGAGAGAGAGAGAGAGAGAGAGAGAGAGAGAGAGAGAGAAGGCGGGAAGGAGGGAGGGAAGGGGAGAAGGGGAGGGGGACTGGAATGTTAGGGAGACTAGTATCAGACATACAGTCAGTTAGAGACAGAGGCTGATGACAACCGCCCCACCCCCCTCTTCTCCCGCAGAGACTAGTAAAGTACACAGAGATGAGTAATGTGATAACCCAAGGGAAATGAGTTTAACATAACTAGTCATCCTCGAGTAATGTTACTCACACACGCATACTTACACAACACTTACTCGCTGCGATAATTGTGAATGTGAATATCGTACTGTCTCGTTGGAATGATAATTGCGTGTGGTTTGTAAAGGCTGCGAGAGCGTGTTTTTTGTATGAGTGTCGAGTTGTTGCTGCGGCGGCTGATGTGTTTGATTGTTTTTCGGTTTACGATGGTATGGCCGACTGTTGGTGAGCCAATATTACTAATATCGGGGTTGCGGATGCGGGTGTGGGTGGGGGTGTGGGTAAGAGGGCCGGCGCAGTTGGCAGGCGTGGGCAGACCGCAGTGAGTGCCACCGCCGGCCACGTTGTGCGGTGTCACTCTCGGGAGCCGTTAGCGCCATCATACTGGCACTGTGACGTCACTAAATGGCCGGCGAAAACCACCAATCAGAAGGAACATTTGAATTTCAAACCGCCGCCGGAGTAGCGTACTTTGCACGGATGAACTTCCAAGGTCCGTTTTTATGGCAGCTGAGGGGGGGGGGGGGGGGCGTCGCTCAGTGCACGTGATGAAGGGCTTCTCCAGTGGAGCTGGTTCTGGGAAGGGAACAAGAGTATGGGGGAAATGGGGAAGAGACCTAAGGAGAGGGAAAAGGGCGGGAAAGATGGACACAGAAACGGGCGAAGAGAAAAGCAAAAAGAAAAATATTAGAGGGAAATGAAAAGAAAAGTGGACAGGGGGAAAGGGCACATTAAATTGTTGAAGAGAACAGAGATGAAGAGACTTTCGGGTGAAACAGACAAAACAAACAAGCCAAACAGGCAGACAAACGATCGGAGAGAGACAGACAGACGGGCGGCCATTCCTAAGAGAAATATATTTCATCATCCTACAGGGAGAGAACTCTTCGCAACTCCATCATGCAGCGCTCTGTCTACTTATTTATCATCCTTGGAAGCAGTGTGGCGAGTGTCCTGCCAATATGATGCATTGCCCCGATCCTTCACAGCAGGGAGCGCCCCCCCTAGTACTGTGCGCGGGGAATTTGATTCACTTTGGTCATTTGCGAAGTTCTGGACCACTATTACGGAAAGGGGGTGAAGGGGGGGGGGGTGAGGAAGAGGGAGAGAAGGAGAGGGGAAAGAGAAGGAAGATAAGGGAGAGTAAGGATGAAATATGACGAAAAAAAAGGATGATGCGAATGGTGATTGTAATAGTTACGATAAAAAGTGTAATAAGTGGAATATGAAAACAAAAATAAGAGTCCCCCCCCCCTCTCTCTCTCTCTCTCTCTCTCTCTCTCTCTCTCTCTCTCTCTCTCTCTCTCTCTCTCTCTCTCTCTCTCTCTCTCTCTCTCTCTCTCTCTTACTCTCTTTACTTATCTTCATCTTTGAATCACTCTTGCCCTTCCAATCTCCCTCTCCCACTCCCTCGCTCTCTCTATCTGCCTAACTTGTCCCCGGACACAGACGGACGTATAGAGACAGATTACGAGCCCAGCCTCTCCGAATGAATATTAATTGTAAGGCCACTTTCTTACCATCTACGTAACAGCCATACCCCCACTCCTTCACCCACATCATTTGTCCCCTCCTTTATTGACTCTTTTTCTTCGCACTTCTTTCTATTCTGGGGTTTTCTAACACTTATGTCAGCCTGTCTCTCTCTCTCTCTCTCTCTCTCTCTCTCTCTCTCTCTCTCTCTCTCTCTCTCTCTCTCTCTCTCTCTCTCTCTCTCTCTCTCTCTCTCTCTCTCACACACACACCCTCTCCCTCTCTCTCCTTTTCACCCTCTCACTCTCTCTTTCTGTTTCTCACCCTCTCTTCTTCATCTTCCCTCTCAACTCTCTTCTTTGTCCTCTTGTTCACCCTCCCCTCCTACTCCCTCTTGAAGATATTACAAAAGGAAGAGGACACTCATCTGGGGAGTCTTAAGTGAAATATTTTTTATTTTTTTGCAATATTTGTATTTTTGTATATATGCAGTGTATAAATTTCTTTAAAAACGCTGGCATTTATTATTGCTGCTCTTGTTGCTTTGTTACGGTGGTTATTATCGTCAGTATAAACAAATATTATCATGATTACGTTGAATGAGGCGGTCTTGCTTTGGAGAGGGAGGCTGGAGTGCAGGTTGATAGAGGCGGAGAGGGGAGAGAAAGGGAGGAAGGCAGGAATGGAGGAAAGGAATTGGAGAAAGAGGGAGGAAAAGGAAAAAAAGAGTTGGGGGAGAACAAAGGAAGGGAAAGCGGTGAGAGAGAGAGAGAGAGTGAGAGAGAGAGTGAGAGAGAGAGAGAGAGAGAGAGAGAGAGAGAGAGAGAGAGAGAGAGAGAGAGAGAGAGAGAGAGAGAGAGAGAGAGAGAGAGAGAAGGGGAAGGAGAGAGAGAGAGACTTATTATTAAAACTGCCTGCGTAATCAAATCAATAGTCAAGTGCTGGAATTTTACCGCCAGAAGTACTTTGTGTCACACATTTCTTCAGAGACGGAAAATATAGGGCAAGAGAAAATAAGAGAAAAGAGAAAGAAAGAAATAGAGGAGCGGAGAGGTATAGATTTTTGTATATCTTTAGGGAAGTCCAGATCCAGTCCTCAAAAATCAATCGCAGGCACGTAATTCGCCCTTAACGAGAGAGGGGAGGAGGGCCCGTGGGTGCCTCCAGTGCCGTCGGATGCCTCCAGTCCCGAGCTAGTGCCTGGCTCCACTCCGAGGCGGGCAGGCGGCGAGCGGAGTGGGCCATGTCTGCTCCTCGGCCTCACTCCCGGCTGCGAGGTGAGACGGCCCGGCCTGCTTGGTTCTCCGGGTCCAGGCGGAGCGCTTTCCTCTCCTCGTCCGCGGCTGCAGTCGAGGCAACAGGAGCGATCCCCGCGCTCGCTTCTGCACTTTTCCTCGGCAGTCTAGGCGCTGATTCTTCTTTTATCCCGGACTTCATGGACGGATGAGTCGTCCTGGATCGTGCCATGGGTTATGGGTCGTCTCTTTTTGTTGTGGGAATGAATGAAGGACCGGTTTTCCAGCAGCCATCGCGTCTTAGTCATCTGAGGATGGGGGGGGGGGTTCCCATAGCAACGCGCAGTTGCCAAGTGTGGATTTTACTACTTGGTATTCATATTTTTTTCCTTTGAAGCACTGAATGTGATCGGGGTGTGAAAGAATGCTTGACATTAGGTCTCGGTTAAACTTAGTTTTGTTTTTCATCTAACCAGCCATTAGAGTAATACTCCTGACGTTTGCTTATTTTTTAAGGTGACACCATTTTCATTTAAATTTTTCTGTTCTTTTTATGAGACTATTATATGTGTTCGTAATTAGCTTCTTTTTCCACAAAAAAGCTGTAGAATATTCTTTATAGTCGAGAGGGAGTCGAGTGTACGTCGATGTAGTGAATATTTACACCCATGATTGGCAACTCTAAAGTACATCTAAAGAGGGTATTTATTCCCTCTTGAGTTTGCTTTGCTGTTTGTCATTTTGCCCTTTCCGTTACATCTTTACTCATGAACACGGTTACTTCTGAAAAAAATCGTTTTTACCCTTCCGTCTTCCATGAAATAGAAATCCCGGGAAAAAATCCTCCGTGGAGGTGTTAGGCAACTCGTCTTCCATCACCCACTCGTACTCTCTCCCCTCAAGTTCCCCTCATCCCCCGCTTCCCCCCCCCCCATTCCTTCCTCCTCCCCGCCTACCCTCCTCTTCTCTCGTCCTCCTCCCATCTCTGTCGAGCCTCCTCTCTCTCTCTCTGTCTCTCTCTCTCTCTCTCTCTCTCTCTCTCTCTCTCTCTCTCTCTCTCTCTCTCTGTCTCTCTCTGTCTCTCTCTCTCTCTCTCTCTCTCTCTCTCTCTCTCTCTCTCTCTCTCTCTCTCTCTCTCTCTCTCTCTCTCTCTCTCTCTCTCTCTCTCTCTCTCTCTCTCTCTCTTCTAACTCCCTCTCCTCTCTCTATCCTTTCATCACCACGCTTCTTCCTCGGTTTTCCACTATTCCCTCCTCTTTAATCCCCCCCTCCCCCCATTTTCTCGGACTTTCTGGGCTTGACTCTTCTCCTCACATTATATTCTTAGGTTTCCCCCAACCCCCTCCCCTCACAAGTCCACTGCCTCTGCCTTTCGCTTAACCTCCCTCCCCTCATCACAACCTCATACCTTTGGCTCTCCTGACCCGTTTCTCCCTGCGCCACCTCCTCACACCCCAAACCTTCCGTTGTCCCGCTCCCTTCATTGCAACCTCACGCTCCCAGCCTTCCCTTAACCTCCCTTCCCCCCCCCCCCCCTCCCCTCAAGCATCACCTCCTCACATCCTCAACCCCTTTTTACCTCCCCCGTCCAAACACCCTTAAACTCCCCTTACCCTGTTTCATCAAAACCTCACGCTCTCTACACCCCCCCCCCCACGCTCACCCCTTCCTCCGTTCATCACAACCTCACACCTTCGTCCTCCCCATACCCCCCCCCCCCCACGCTACCTAACACCCCTTCCCTCCCCCCTCTTCGTCCATTCCCTTACTGATTTTTCTTATCATTCCGTCCAGAGTCCTCGGAGTGTGCTGGACTCCTGCCTTCTCCGTTTTTTTCCCCTCTTCAGGCGACTTTTCGACACTTTTTAGGCCTATTCGTGTTGGTTTTGTTACCAATGGATTTTTGTTATTATTTGTATATGCTGCTGTTGTATGTGATTGTTGTTCTTGTTGCGGCTGTTTTTTTCTTTTTTTGTCGTCTTCGTCGGCACCGTCATTACCATTAGCAGCATCAACATCACATCGCCGTCATCATCGTCATAGTCATCATCTCATCATCACATCGTCTTTATCCTCATCACAGCGTCGTAGTCATCATCATCATCATCATTCTCTCTCTCTCTCTCTCTCTCCTCCTCTCTCTCTCTCTCTCTCTCTCTCTCTCTCTCCCTCCTCTCTCTCTCTCTCCTCCCTCCCTCCCTCCCTCCCTCCCTCCCTCCCTCCCCCCCCCCCCCTCTCTCTCTCTCTCTCTCTCTCTCTCTCTCTCTCTCTCTCTCTCTCTCTCTGTTTGTTTTCCTCTTTCTATCTTATTTCCTGTCTCTCCTATGTTTTTTTTTTCTCGTCTCACTTTTCTACTCTTTCCTCTCTTTGTTTTTCTTTAATTCTCATCTCTCTTCTTTTCCTTCCTTGTAATATATATTTTTTGGTCTTATTACTGTTTTTTTTATTATTATTTTTTAAAAGTCTTTGTGTGCGCGCGCGTGCAGGTACGTGCCCAGCCTATACCAACAGTGCGATTTGGAATTGTTTCATGTTCGCGATTGTAAGCGAGGATTCCCCGGCCGTGAGGAGACGCCGCACAAGGAGGTGGTTTATTGTCTTGGCTCTCTTCTCAAGGACCTTCCTTTTTCTGTCCAGGACAGAAAGATTTTTATATTTCCTCTCCTCGCCCCCCCCCCCCTCTCTCTCTCTCTCTCTCTCTCTCTCTCTCTCTCTCTCTCTCTCTCTCTCTCTCTCTCTCTCTCTCTCTCTCTCTCTCTCTCTCTCTCTCTCTCCTTTCCCCTATGTTTTCTTCACCTCTTTCTTCTTCCTTGTTGCAAGAAGTCCCATTGTCCCGCATGCAAATTCCGGCGCGCACTTGAAATTTTTAATCTCGCGGGACTCCGGCGTCGATCCTGCCGCCCGGATAGGCTATATTGTCCCCGCACAGTCGAGTGGCAGTCGAAGACGGATGTGGAAACACGCTTTTGCGGCGAACAGCCAGCGGAGGTCGGCGTTGTTTTCAGACGGCCGGGTCGCCGGGGCGAGGAATTATGAGTAGCAGGGTGCTGGTGCTTGTCCAAAAATTGAGTCTGCGGAGATTTGTTAGGCTTCTTTACAACGTCGTAAATGTGATATTTTTGGGGGTAAATATTGATCAGTACTTAGGTTGTTAACGCACCTTAATTAACGTCGGAATTATGAAGGGCTAAGCTGATTGCAAACATCTTACTTTTAGCTTCTTATGATATATATTTTTTATCGTTAAGAAAAACAACGGGCTGCTAAAGTTTCGTATCCTAAAGATTTCATTTCTTTTTCTTTCACTGTTATCTCAGAGTTTTTTCTGGTTTCACAGAGCAGACTCGGGTTGGAAATTCTTGGTCGTACTATTGATATATGTGATCCCGGGATCTGCACGTCAGCATGTAGTTTATCATCTGTAGGCTCTCTCTCTCTCTCTCTCTCTCTCTCTCTCTCTCTCTCTCTCTCTCTCTCTCTCTCTCTCTCTCTCTCTCTCTCTCTCTCTCTCTCTCTCTGTTTATCTATCTATCTCTCTCTCTACATATGTATATCTATCTCTATCTGTATATCAATATGTGCATCCATATATCCCAATGACGCCGGGTGTACTAAAGGAAAATAAAACTCTACGCTCTGGCAAACAAAGGCAGCGCGCCGACTTTGAGCGCAGGAGTACGGGGCGTCAGCCCGAATCACTGGCTCGCCGCGCTTTGGCGCGCCGCCGGCTGGTTTGGCCGCACGCCACCTTTCGAGCGATTTGTTTACACGCGTATCGCCGTCACCCGGCGGCAAGGGGATATCTATCTTTCTTCTCTATAGCAATCAGTCAGTCAACCTTTCTCTCTTTCCCTCTCCCCTGCCTCCTTCCCCGCCCATCTTCCTCCATCTCCCTCCCTCCCTCCCTGCCCGGTTACTTTGCATGCCACAGGCGTCCAAAACCGCAGTGTGATTTCCTCGTGGGCGAGATTGATAGGTTCATGTCATGTGACCTTTTCTCTAACCTTTCATATCATCTCGCCGCCCGGGATGTCATTTGCGCTCATCCGATGGTTAGGCTGCGCGCGCGTGTGTGAATGTGTGATCTTGAACTTGACACGAATCAGGGCAAGTGGAACGAATATTCACGGATTGGGGATGGAAAGGAAAGTTGAGGGTAGGGTGGATTGGTGAGGTCTGGGAAGGGTGGCATGGGGAGGAGGGCGGGGTAGGGAGAGAGGGAGAGGGAGAGAGGTAGAGGGAGAGAAGAATGGAGGGAAAAGGAGAGGGAGACAAGGAAAAGTGACAGGCAAACAGACAGAGACAGGAAAGGTGGGGGTGAGATGCATTATTATTCAAAATCCTCAAAATCATTATCAACAAATCATAGTGAAAATGTATATAAGGCCATCATTAAGACAAAGTGCATACAATGGAGAAGAAAAAAAATCTTATATGATGTAAATGTCGAAATTGCCGCTTTGCCGATTTCAGTGCACGCAGTCCAATCCGTCTTGGTCTCGTGGAGAAATACCCAGGCTGTGATCTTTGCTTTCTTTTAATATCCGTGGCCGGCATTTGCTTTTCTAAAGATTTTCAGTGCCCTTTGATCGGACAATTTCTGATAAAATGTTTCTGTTGATTTTATTAGAACAGCTTGTGCACTCTCCCTTTAGTGTTCGATATAAAAAAGAACACCTTTTCTTGCTGATGTTAGAATCTCGGTGTTTTATTAAAACATAGAGGCAAACGCGGGGATATGTCTTTATTTTGATTCCACAGAAGGAAATGAAAACGGACAAACCTTCAAAGGGGTGCAATCTGGCCTTATTGTGAATGCACCCTCATGCACGTGACCCCCATAATGACCCTGCACATTAGTATAATGAACCAAAAACGCGGTATTCATATCTGTCAGTTGCTATGATGATATCAAAAGAGTAACTACAAGAGATATGCTTGCACAGCAGGCCGTACCCCAGGTGGTGATGGAGGATTGGCTCGACTAACACAAGTTATGGTTCGGTCGATTTTCCCCTCGTGTTTGTTTTGTTTTGTTTTCAGGAAGATATACACAGGTCACACAAGACACGATCCTGCATATTTTCCTTTTATTTTTCCCCTTCTTTTCTCTTTGCTTTGCCGGCGACATCACACGCATAATAACCACGAGCGAGGCCCCGGGGCACCTTCGGCGAAAGCTTAGCGTCACAACCAATGACACTATAGAAACCTCATTGACGGGGAGGCGGAGGCGTGGGCTGCGAGTTCGTCCTCAGGATTAATGCTTCTTCCTTCCAAGAAGGTGCGGAAGTTGTGTGTGTGTGTGTGTGTGTGTGTGTGTGTGTGTGTGTGTGTGTGTGTGTGTGTGTGTGTGTGTGTGTGTGTGTGCTGGTCTTAATTCTTGAATAGGAGAAGCAACATAAACCTCCCTGACACAGTGTTAAGAAGTTAATAACAGAGGGGCTGGGTCCCCCCGGGCACCGATGGTGTGTGCAGGGATCCTCATCTACCCCGAGTTGCTGTCGTGTTCGCACTAACGGGGTCCTTCGAGAGTGGGATGGATGTTTAAAACGAACGCGCCCTCGCTTTCCAACGGTCTGTAGTGCGTCGATGACGTAATGAAATGTCACGTGAGCGTTTTTAAAGTAATTAAAAGAGAGTGTACAGAGCTTTAAGCAACGCCTTAAAGGAGTGGAAGAACATTCGTATTTCTCGTGTTATACGAGCGCACTAACAGCTGTTGTGAGGCGGGGACGCTTTGCCTCCCCTCGCTCTCCCGCTCTCCCCTCTGCCACATCGCCCCTCACCCACGCTCTCCTCGCCGCCCCTCAGATGCTCTTCTACCAACAGAGATAAAGAAGTAGGGGACACTCGAGCGACCGGGAGAGGGCCCGTCGGTGCAGGTGAGGGCAGGTCAGCAAGGCAGCAAAGGGTGCCGGGCGGAGGTGGCACTGCGGGGGAAAGCCGGAGGGAGACGTGGCACCACCGCGATGATTACTGGCTTGCACACACACACACATCAATGGTGTAAACTCCACATGCGTTGACGCATTGTTGGAAATGGCTTCTTGTTTGTTTCTCTCTCTTACACTCCCGCACTTTTACTCTCTCGCTCTCGCTCTCTTTTTGATCGGTTATGTATCGACCTTTGTCTCTCTTTCTTCTTCGTTATTATTGCCAGTACTGTTAGTTTTTCTTTCCCTTGATTCGTTTGTTGCTTAAGGCAACTGGCGAGCTTCGCCTTTTTTCTGCATCTTCTTAGTCCAAAAGTTGGATTGAAGTTGATGTTTTACGATGAAGGTCAGATACTCCAGCGGCGCCGTCAATACCTCGGCCGGGAAGCGTAGGCATACACGGGGGCGGGGGTGCAGTCTCGGCGCTCACTTCCTCTCGTCAGGATTATCGGGTTTTGTTATTCAAATCGTTTGGTGTATTGCGGTTCGTTAATGTGTATCACAGGCGAGGCCTTGGGTATTGAGCGCCTACAGCTCTCTGCTTGGTTAGCGCTCTGTCGGCCAGGTTGGAGATTCAT